TAGCAGTATTCATGGCATTGTCTATTAAACTCAATTTAGTAGCAGTATTCATGACATTGTCTATTTACTTCAATATGATAGAAGTATTACGACATAGTCTACTTACTTCAATATAATAGCAGTATTCATGATATTGTCGACAAACTTCCATACAATTGCAGTTTTAAATATTCATTACATTATCTACTTACTTCAATATAATAGCAGTATTCATGGCCTTGTATATTAAACTCAATATAAATGCAGTATTCGAGACATTGTCTATTAACTTCAATATGATAGCAGTATTACGACATTGTCTTCTAACTTTAATGTAATAGCAGTATTCATGATATTGTCGACAATCTTCAAAACAATTGCAGAATTCAGTATTCTTTACATTGTCTACTTACTTCAATTTAATAGCAGTATTCAAAAAATTGTCTATTATCTATAATATAATAGCAGTTATTATGACATTGTCTATTTACTTCAAAATAAAAGCAGTATTCATTGCATTTTCAATTAATTTTAGTATAATAGCAGTATTCATGACATTGTCTGTTAACACCGATATAATAGCAGTATTCATGACATTGTCTATTATGTTCAGTATAAAAGCAGTATTCATGGCATTGTCTATTAACTTCAATGTGATAGCAGTATTTATGACATTGTCTATTAACTTTGATAAAATAGCAGAATTCATGTCACTGTCCATTATCTTCAATATAATAGCAGTATTATGACATTGTCTATAAACGTGAATAAAATAGCAGTATTCATGACATTGTCTATTAACTTCAATGTAATAGCCGTATTGATGACATTGTCTTTTAACTTCAATAACATAGCAGTATTCATGGCATTGTTTATTAAACTCAATATAGTAGCAGTATTCATGACATTGTCTATTAACTTCAATATGATAGAAGTATTTCGACATAGTTTACTAACTTCAATATAATAGCTGTATTCATGATATTGTCGACAAACTTCAATACAATTGTAGTTTTAAGTATTCATTACATTGTCTACTTACTTCAATATAATAGCAGTTTTCATGGCATTGTATATTAAACTCAATATAAATGCAGTATTCATGACATTGTCTATTAACTTTAATATGATTGCAGTATTACGACATTGTCTACTAACTTCAATGTAATAGCATTATTCATGACATTGTCTATTATCTATAATATAATAGCAGTAATTATGACATTGTCTATTCACTTCAATTTAATAGCAGTATTTATTGCATTTTCCATTAATTTTAGTATAAAAGCAGTGTTCATGACATTTTCTATTAACACCGATATAATGGCAGTATACATGACATTGTCTATTAAGTTCAAAATAAAAGTAGTATTTATGGCATAGTGTATTAACTTCAATGTGAGAGCAGTATTTATTACATTATATATTAACTTCAAATTAATAGCAGTATTCATGACATTGTCCATTAACTTCAATATGATAGCAGTATTATGACATTGTCTATTAACGTCAATAAAATAGCAGTATTCATGACATTTCCATTAACTTCAATATGATAGCAGTTTTCATGGCATTGTCAATAGCAGTATTCATGATATTGTCTACTAATTTCAATATGATAGCAATATTGATTACATTGTCTATTAACTTCAATAAAATAGCAGTATTTATGATTGTGTCTATTAACTTCAATAAAATAGCAGTATTCATGACATTGTCTATTTACTTCAATGTAAAAGCAGTATTCATGACATTGTCTATTATATATAATATAATAGCAGTAATTATGACATAGTCTATTTACTTGAATATAATAGTAGTATTAATTGCATTTTCCATTAATTTTAGTATAATAGCAGTATTCATGGCATTGTCTATTAAGTTCAATATAATTACAGTAATCATGACATTGTCTATTACCCTCAAGATAATAGCAGTATTCATGACATTGTCTATTTACTTCAATAAAATAGCAGTATTCATGACATTGTATATTAATTATAATATAATAGCCGTGTATTTTAACTTCAATAACATAACAGTATGCATGGTATTGTCTATTAAACTCAATATAAAAGCAGTATTTTTTGCATTGTCAATTAAACTCAATATAAAAGCGGTATTCATGACATTGTCTATTTACTTCAAGATAATAGCAGTATTATCACATTGTTTACGAACTTCAATGTAATAGCAGTATTCATGGCACTGTCTATTCACTTCAATATAATAACATTTATTATGGAAATGTCTATTATCTTTAATATAATAGCAGTATTTATGGCATTGTCTATTAACTTCAATATGATAGCATTATTCATGACATTGTCTATTAACTTCAATATGATAGCAGTATTTATGGCATTGTCAATAGCAGTTTTTCTGAGCTTGTCTATTAAAGATATACTATGCTCATCTTTAGGTTAAATATTTTTATCTAAGAAATGTATTGAAATCCATGAAATTCTTACTAAATATATTTAGTTTGAATAAAATAATGAATAGACTATGTATGGGAAGCTGCATTCCCTATCACAAGTCAAGTGAAGTTTGTTTGTTTTTTCTTAAAAAATCCGTCAGTTTTTTTAATGACACTATATATTCATACTGTGACCACCAATAGTGTGTCGAGTTCAAAACATAACATATCTACTTAAAATGAAGTCAAAACATGTTTATTTTATACATACAAAGAGAATTGTGTATCAATTACTGTATAAGTACTTATTTTGGCGGGGGTTTATATTTGGCTATATTGGCGGTCAGGGTCAGAAGCGCCAATTCAAAACAACGCCAATTTAAAGCACCGCCATTTTAGATCATCGTTATTATTCTTTGAAAGGTAGACAACTCATGGTAAAATAGCTTTGGTTTGTCCGAGTAATCTCCCTTGATTATTTGTAATAAAAATAAACATTACAAGTAAGCTGAAAACAATTTGTTTATTTTTAAGTCTTGGTACGAAACTCATTTAATTATATATCTATATACTGTATTTATTACGAAGATGATCACACGACGAGAAACAAATCTAAATGTCATATAAAAATCAGATATGGAATCATGTTACACTTTGTACATTTAATTACTTAACAAAATTTATAGTCCTGCCTTAGAGAAAGACTCGGCAATGATGTCGGGCTTTGTGGCTAGTTTAGAAACAGCCTTGACCAGCCATTGTGCATGCAATGGTTTCACAACAGAAGTCCGCAGGTCAATTTTTATATCTGACAAATCCGTCCCAGCAGCTAACCGTTTTTGAATTTCATCACCGTAAAATGATTGAAACTCTGCCTTAAGATAAGACTTAAATAAATCACGATACAAATAATAACAAAAATAGTTCATGTTTTTATTAAAATCGTTCAGAATTAGCACGATGTAAAGATAAAGGTGACCAAGAATAGGTATACCGTATGCCGTAAAATAAACGAGGACAGTCAACTACTGCGAGACCGGTGTTATTTTTATTTATTTTTTTTATTCTTTATTTGTAATCGCCAATTCATGACCCCATATTTATGCCAACAAGTGTTTTAATTTGGCGGTCTAAAAGCGTTTGCGCCAATTTATGACCCCGCCAATTCAAAACACTTTAAAAAACGCCAACATTTGACACCGCATATATAATGCGCTAAGTATTAATATCATTAAAAAGCATATTTGTGCATAGTATATCTTTAATTTTAATTTTAAAGCAATAACCTGACATTGTTTATTAACTTAAATTTAACAGAATTTTACATGACTTTGTCTATTAACTTTAATAAAAAAGCAGTATCCATGACATTGTCTTTTTACATCAATGAAATAGCAGTATTCATGACATTGTCTATTAACTTCAATAAAATAGCTGTATTCTTGGCATTGTCTATTAACCTCAATATAAAATAGCAGTATGGAATGTCATGATATTGTCTACAAACTTCAATACACTTGCAGTATTCAGTATTCACGACGTTGTCTACTTACTTCAATATAATAGCAGTATTCATGACATTGTCTATTATCTTAAATATGATAACAGTATTTATGTCATTGTCTATAAACTTCAATATAATAGCAGTATCTTTGACAGTGTCTAATAACTTCAATATAATAGCAGTATTCATGGCGTTTTCTATTAGCTTAAAGCAGCACGCCGATTAATGTCAGTTTTCATGAAAATTTTAAAAAAAGAATTTAAAAGTAAAATATTGTGAGGTAAACAAATAAAGTAATTTACATATTGCAATCCGGCACTTACAATCCAAGAAAATTACCAAAATGTGGTCAACATATGTAAAAACAGCCCTTACTGCGTTAGTAACGCAGTAGAATTATGGCGACAAAATACCGCAAAAACAGTCTTAAACCGCACATAACATGAAAAATTTAACTTGGATCTTGAATGTTTTTAACTTTCTGATAATGTTAGTACATTTTGCTCAATATTGATATTCTTGAGTTATTTTGGCTCATCTGGAGGCGTGCAGCTTTAAGTATAATAGCAGTATTCATGACATTGTCTAATAACTTCAATATAATAGCAGTATTCATGGCATTGTCCATTAACTTCAATATAAAAGCAGTATTCATGATATTGTTTATCAATATCAATATAACAGCAGTATTTATGACATTATTATTACAATATTATATTATTTTATACCATACCATACCATACCATACCATACTATACATACTATACTATTCTACTGTCCTTCTTTTCACTTTAATTAATAGTTGTTTAACATCGATTTGTTCCTTCTTAATACACAATAATATTGGCTTAGTTTTTCTCATATATTATTTGATTATAATAAGTAGTTTACTAGGACGTAGGTACAATAAGCTCTTTCTGTTATAAGAATATGGTATGCAAAAAAAAAACAAAAAAACATTTACCTTTTTTGTTATAGCTTAACACCGAATAATGATGATAGATGCACTATGAATACATCTGATTTAACATGAACTTTTTCTAACCTTATGATGTCCTTAGTTATTGTCAGGTTTTCATATGTTTATTTGATTTTCAGATGGACCATACCAGTCATCAACTAAATTATCACCATCACCACAAAATTACACCAAAAATGAAGGACAGAGTCTAAATGATATCACGTGTTCTGCTAACTGCTATCCTGATTGCACATACACATGGAATAAGACAAGACAAGGGCAGACAACCACAGCCAGCAGTACAAGTGTTTTATCTGTAGGAGAACTACAACGTGAAGATGCTGGATTGTACACTTGTATAGCACAAAATCCTGAAAAAATTTCATCTCCAACAACAACAATACAAACTCTCGTCAATGTTAGATGTAAGTATATTATCAACATGATTTTATTAATATATATTATCTGTAAGTATATAACAGAAATCCGTTCTTTAGATACTAATATGCGTTAAAAGGAGATTGAATAAAAAAACAGCCTCTGTTATGGGGTGGATGTTGGATAAGGGTTCAAAAACAGAATTTCACCATAACATACGTGTATGTTGAATACTATATTAGCCGGTGCTAGGGACGGTGTCCATTAACAGGCTCGATCAAACCGAGCCTGTAACATTTTCAATTTTGCGGTTTTGGACTTTCTTTAAGGACTCTTTTACCGCACAAAGAAAGAAAACGACTTATTGAAGACTTTGATTATTAGAACACAAATATATAATTATGTATATGATTCATTGTACCTCGAATTTTGAAAAAGAATGCTTGCATTGTTTGTTTAACGAACGATTCCGTATTACAGATTTTGATATACAATTACGGATTTCTATTAGAGTATGTAGTATTAGTTTTGAGTACCTTATAACCTTGTAAAAAGCTTTTAGTCAGTTACGAGGGTAAATCATTTTAATGCTTTTAGATGGACCAGATACAGTCAGCTTAAACATAACATCACCATATGATGTGTTAGAAGGAAAGTCTCTGATTATACAATGTAAGGCAGAATGTTATCCTGGATGCTCCTACACATGTGTTAATGTTACAAGTGGTTTAAGGATGAATACAACAGGTGCTGTAATGTATATCGGAGCAGTTGACAAATATATGACAGGAGATTATAGATGCGAAGCTAAAAATAATGATGATTCAATTTATGTGAAATCTGCAGATATTGTTGTAACGATTAATATAAAAGGTAAATTTATTATGTTTCGGTTTCCCTGATATTTATTTTAAGTGTAATTATTAAGGTATTAACTCATTTAATTAACACGTGTAAAATGGTTAAAACAGTTAAACAACATAAACAATTGCATAACAGAATCTTATTAAACATTAGATGTGATAATGATATATATTGCGAAATATGGAAATGTTAAGATAACTTAATTTTGTGAATTCATTTTAGAACAAACGTTTTTGAAATTTTTCTACATTGGAAGTCATATCAATACGACAATTGTTACCGTGGACGAGCTTGAAGTTGGCATAATATTTACATGTACTGTCAGTGGAGATCCTGCTGAAAACATCAAAATAACTCATCATGGACAAATCTTAAAAGAGGAGCAAAATGCCAGCTCTTTGAAATTTATCCACAAGACAGTAAATTGTTATGATAGCGGTGAATATATATGTGAAGTGAGAAATAGGAATATGAATACATCAAGCGGAAATGTATCAATGTTTGTTAACTGTAAGTCTTTATTTTATAGATGTATTTGATATAATGTCAAATGAATTGAAAGAAATTCTTTACCGCATAAACTTTGTTACGTCATTAGTTTATGGTACTTAATTTAATCTGTCCTGCATTATAACTGTAACTATGATGTGCCTATTTTGTAGTTATTACCTTTTTTTCATTTTTATACTTTAAACATTTTCCGGGTACACATAAGGTGTCAATATAAAACTTAGGTAGATAGATCATATTGATTGACGCGCAGTGCATAAGAACCGTAACGCTGCCTTGCCTAAATTTGGAGTTGTCTTTTTTTAACCTTTGAACTTTGTCCGGGACATTCTGAAACTACAAGAGGTATCAACAAGAAACTACTTCTACGTGTTTTAAACCTGATCGTGGAGCCTCCCCCGTCCCACTTACCCTTGTTAAGCTGTGTGTCTATTTCGTAACAACTTTTGCAAATTATCAGTTTTATTAACATTTCAACACTTTATTTTGATAATATAGGTTCACCACGCCCAGTACGGAAAATTCAAGAAAAGCTCACAGTTACACTGAACGCACCTGTCACATTGACATTTCAGGCTCTTGCGCATCCAGAGCCTGGTCCAAAAGGGTTTGCTTGGTACAATTTTAGAGAAACAAGATGGTTACAAATTTTAACAAATGAAGATTTTCATATTTCTTCTTCGGGGTTAGAGACAAATCTCACAATATTTAGCGTTTCCCAGAATGATTACGGACAATATCGTGTTACTACAATGAACAGTATTGGGACTTATAATCAATATTTTTCTCTCTTACAACAAGGTAAGTTTTTTTAAAAACTCTGATGGTATTATATTTGAAAAATGTTTGAACAGGCAACACTAGACACTGCTAATTTATGTTTAAATCGTATGTCCTAGCCATTTAAATGATATAAATAGATACATCAAAATAAAATTGATTTTATTGAAAAACAATATTATAATTAACAACAATATATGCTTACTGCCATATTTTTTACCATTGACATAGAAAATCTAAAATGTGTCGAAACTTAGAGTAACACAGACTATTTACAAAGAAGACACTGCAGATTCATATAAAGTAAATACAATTGGTGAAACAATCAATTGGCAAATAAATGCAATGAATAGAAAAACTGTTTCTGGAAAATACGTGTAGGTCTGTTATTGATATGTTGCAAATGAAAAATGTTAGAAATGAGATCATAAAATGTAGATCGATATAAAATGAGAACTGAAACCAGTATCACTATAGTTTAACATTTGACGAGATTATTCGATATTAAGAAGTTAAGCTATTACACACGTGTCAAATGACAAGACAAATACAAAAAAAACAGAACAGCTACAAACACACTGGAAATCATAATTACGGTTTTAACTCGTTCAGTATGTAATAATCTGTTGCCCAAACGTAATTTACAAACGTACTTAACCATTGCAGAACCGGCTTCACAACAAGTAAGAAAAGAGGATTGTAAAGATGGTGATACACTGACAATTGGTATAGTTTTAGGAACAGTTTCTCTTATCCTCACAATTTACGCAACTTCAATAACCGTTCTATGGAAACGGAATGTCTCCTTCAGTAAAAATCGAAGTAGCACTTTGATGATGAAAAATATAGGTAAGCAACATGTATAACAAATAACTATGCGGTATTAATTGAAAATTTACAATATATAGATAATATTCCAGTTTTTCCTATTAATACCTGATTTATTTTCATCGAGTGGTATGAAAATAAATATTTCATGAGTGGCGTTATGACAAGTTGAACATAAATCTTGTATTCAGAGAAAAAAGAAATTATGTTTATAATATACATAATTCTATTTGATATTACACTATGAAAGTATTCCCCTTACATTTTGTGTATTGGCTGAATTTAGAAAAAGTAGTCCGGCAAGACACCAGTGAGAATACAGAAAATATGATTTTACAATCAAATACGGAATATGAAAATACGAATTTTTTATTTCACCAATATGACGTGATGTCTTTTGTACGATATATATACATAGCGTTAAAGCACAAATGCTACTGTTACACCTAGGCATGTCATTGAAAAAATACACCTTTTTAACAATTTGTCATTCTTATTTTATATATGTGATAAATAGCATAGTATATTCGTGTAGGATTAATACTTAATTTATTGAATTCGTTGAATAAACAATTTTATGCTCGCCAGAGGCTCGCATACTATGATTTTATTCAACTCCTTCAATAAATTTAGTATAAAATCTACATTCATTCAATATCCACTATATATAGCTGATAGATGAAACTATATGATAAAACTTAAAAAAGCTACTTTTTATACCCCTGGGTATATAGGAGTTACCCGGTGGTTGGTCGGTCGGTCCAGCAGTTCGTTGCATTTTCCTTGTCCGGAGCATAACTTAAAGACTAATACTTGAAATTCAATACAACTTCAAACAATGGTCAAGAACATTAAGAGGAAGTGCAGTGCACAAGAAACATAACTCTTCACTAATTACAGAGTTATTGTCCTTTGTTACTTTTCATTGTCCGGAGCATAGCTTGTAAACTACTGGTAGGAATTGAAAACAACTTCATACAGTGGTCAGACACATAAAGGAAAAGTGCAGTGGACAAGAACCATAACTCTATCTACAGTAATTAAAGAGTTAGTGTCCATTGTAACTTTTCCATTGCTTTCATTTGTTCGGACCATAACTTGAAGACTAATGTTTGGAATTCAATTTAACTTCATACAAGGGTGAAGAACATTAAGAGGAAGTGAGTGAAGTGCACAAGAACCATAACTCAATTTTGACTAATTACAGAGTTACTGCCCTTTGATATTTGTTCCATTGCTTTTTTGTCCGAAGCATAACTTGAAGACTTATAGTTGAAATTCAAAACAACTACATATAATGATCAAGCACATTGAGAGGATGTGCAGTACACTGGAATCATAACTCCATCTTGACTCATTACACAGTTATTGCCCTTTATTACTTGTCCGGAGCATTACTTGAAAAGTATTGGATGGAATTCAAAACAACTTCATACAATGGTCAAGCATTGTAAGAAAAAGTACAGTGCAAATGAATAATAACTCTATCCAGAGTAATAATAGAGTTAATGCCTTTTGTTACTTTTCCATTGTTTTTTTCTTGTCCAGAGCATAACTTGAAAACTACTGGTTGGAATTTAATAAAATTTCATACACTGGTCAAGTATATTGAGATGAAGCGCAGTGCACAGAAACCATAACTCTTTCTTGACATATTTAAGAGTGTTTGCCCTTTGTTACTTTTTATTGCCCAATGCATACCTTGAAAATTAATGGTAACAACCATAACTCAATCATTATTTTTTACAAGGTGTTTTGTTTCTAGTAACCTCATTTCCGAAGCAGTCTTGCGGGGGTATAAATCACATTTAGTGATAGTCCTAGCTTTGTATAATTCTGTTGTAAATTATGTTGGATAAATTCGTTGTTGGAAGAGTCGTTGTTGCACGTTACTAAGATTGTGACTGCAAGAGTTTGTCTGGTACCAAATTATCAAAAGAAAATGCGACATGGCATATCACTGGAACTTAAAAACCGACACTTAAAATGAAAAGTAGAGAACGAAACGCGGAGCGCATACTTTTTTGATCTTTTTTTTGTTCGGGCATTTACATTTGCAGAAGCCCTCGTGTCTATGAAGTCCATCGTTCGTCCCGTTCTATAAGCACGTCCTCGTGCATATGCAAATGATAATGCTCGACAAAAGCATGACATTTGGGGATATATCTATCGCTAGTCGCTTTTGTAAGATCTATTTTTAGTAATTAATGTATATTATAACAAGTGCTCAAACAAGTAGTGCATTTTATATAGATGAAAATGGGTAACCTTTCAAATATGTTGAAATTATAGAGAACATAACCTTAATAGCAAAATCTGTTTAATAGAAACTGTTTTGTTTTTAAGGCATAGACAATGGCAATGAATTACAGGGACAAACGTAAGTAGTTTTTTGTTGTTTTTCTTTTTTATTTATTTATCTATTCATTTATTTATTTTTTCATTTATTTTTTTATATCAATTGATATAGGAAATGTAAAACATTGTATAATAACGATAACGGATAAGATACATGCCTTTTTCATAATAGAAGATAATTCTTTAAATGTTATCACCAAATATATCATTTGATTGATTAAAACTATTGCACTATTATTTGAAATGATTAAAAATATGCACCTTTTGTTGTATTTGTTTTGTGTACTTAATTTAAATATGCCCCCTTCCTGTAGAAAAATATTTTCCGGCATATTTTTGATTTTCTAGAACATACGTCAATATGAACAGTTCATCAAACTACCAGGACGTACATCAACGCGTTGAAAGTAAAGCTACTTTTGAAGACGATCCAAGTAAAACACAGTATACAGATCTGGATGACTTTTCACGGGATAAAGGAAATAATGTGTACGAGGCTATCAAAAGAAATTGATAACTAATTAAGGAGATGACAACCATGAGCTATTGTAGCTCTCGGTCCAATTCCTTTCTGCTTAAATTGTAAATTATTAACATGTATATATTACCTTGAATAAAAATATGTTTAAACCAAAAGAAATTGATACCATTACTATATAAAGCATAACTATTAACGTTGCATTTATATGCATAGACTATGCGTATGACATTTAAGACTGATATGCGATTGTTGTTTTGGGTGTGTGTGTGTGTGTTTTGTTTGTTTGTTTTTTTTTGCTTTTTTTGTAAATTTGGAAAAATTTAACACAGACGTACTGTGATACATTATAACACAAATAGTGGATAATTCAGCTCAAATTGACAACAATAAATGACTTTTCTTATATTTTCATCTTATATTTATTAAATCCGTTGCTGTTAAAAAGTCGCAAGTCATGACTTGTGATTTTTAGTTCAACTACGTCTAACATAGTGCACTAATAATAATTCTTTTAGTTTTTCATAAAATGATAATGGAAATTGTAGTATTACAATCAAAATAAGTGTTTATAAAAAACAAAAAGTCATTTTTATATCTATACACCAGATGATTAGTATTGATATCTCCCGCTTGCTGAGCTCAATCGCCATGGTAATTCAAAGGTCGCTTGTTCGATCCTCGGGGGAAGCGAAAATTCTCGGTGACAATTCATTTCGAACAGTAAATCTTATGATTATTTGTTTCTTTCCACAGATTCAAAAATCATGGGTCACTTGCCCAGGTTATTTATAGTGAATTATCCGGATAAGTCAGTAGGATTGACCGTCGATGTATGACTAAAATGTGTTAAAACCGGCTTAAAAAAGAAACAGAAACAATATTATGCAACCTTATATGTTTTAAATATGTAGTTATGGCATTTGAAGAAAAGATCAACAATAAAACAAAGGTGTTTCTTGATATGAAGAACAATGAGAGTCGATCCGATGATTTATTAGTATGAATGTTACCATTTTAGTAATGTATCGAAACATAACAATTCCATTATCACTTAACTTATCATTTATTCAACTTACAAAAAAACAATTTAATATTTAATAACGTAATTACTCGAAAGTAAAAGACTATTTGATGCACTATTTTGGTAATTAGAAATGAAATAATTAATATTTAGGTATCGTTACTTTCCTAATTATCATTTGTCATAGAAAGTGGAATGTATTATCAATATTAAAAATAGTGTGCATCGGGCCATATAGATATCATTTTGATATATTCTGATCTTATGTATATCTGACCAGCATTTTTCACGTACTTCATTGAACCTAAATAGTAACTGTTTCCAATTCCGAGACCTTAATGATTATGAGGCATTGTTATTGTACTGCAGCATTGTTGATCGTAGTTTTGATAGAAGTGTATCAGAATCTTATCATTTTACTTATGAGTCTAATAACAGGTAAAATGTTAGACACGAAATTTGTGGATTGAATTATTTGTTTTCTTTTACATAAGAAATATTGAGATTTCTTTGAATAAGTTTCAGAAAGATTGTTACTGTGCGCATGTCGTGGAAATGATTTTTTGTTTAAAAATAAAACTTTTAAAAAACTAAATATGGGACGTTTGACTGTCTTGTTGTTGTTTGTGTTATTTGTGTATGTAATGCGTTGCCTTTAGATTAAGGATTCTGTAAAGAAGACGTTAGTCAGTCAACAGTAAAGAGCATGGTCAGACTGCAGGAATATAAATCTTGCCTTAATCTTGGAGAGTTGCAATACACTTGGCTGGTGGTAAAACTCTTGGCTGGTACCTCTTAGCTGATGGCAAAGCTCTAGGCTGGTAGCAAAGTTAGTGGCAAAGCTCTTGGCTTGTGGCAAAGGCCAATATCGTTTAATTCGATTAGTGTACGTTTAATATGGGAGCACAATAAAACGATTTATAAATTTATGGCCAACGATATTACATTTGAAGGAAAGAAATGTTAAATATCACATTTTTATGCTATGTTTTCTGTCAAAACCCCCGTGAACATTAGGCGACTGTTTTAAAATGTGACAAAGTCTCATCACAAATCATATAAGAAAATGGAATGCACTTGTTCCTTTTCTGCTGAATATATAAGGTCCAGCGTGATTTAAATTCAAGCATGTTTCCAAAATATTTCACTTAATACAACATGTATAACGTATTGATTCTTTTTATTCCTTTGAACATACATTTGAAATTTGAAGATAATTTCATTGGAAAATTTGATTTAAAATGAGGTTCATGTGACTGAGATTCTAAAAAGACACATTCACACTGCCATTTCCATGATCAATCAAATTGCCTGTCCGCACTTTTGTTTATTATATTATGTCATTTACTTTACGATACACATTTTTTTACCAACGTAAAAAAAATTTAAGGCACATTATACCTCAGCAAAGAGTTGATATTTCCTTCTTAAACAAAGGGCAAACATGAGATTACTAAAAATTTTAAATAATGGTGACTTCGTACTGCGCATTGTCTTTGTCAGGTGGACGTTTGAGCTACGTTTATGAACACAAATTAATTATTTGAAGTGATATAGTATTAATTTATAATGTTGGCGTCTCTGGGTATATTTTATGCATCTAAAAAGCCAGTCGTACTTTGAACGTTAAAGGTATCTCAAATTAGAAGACTCAAGTTAGGATTTTGAGCATTATACGCGTAATGAGATGATAAAAGTTTTGTTAGACAAAAGTCACAAGATGTGTAGGTTTATGACTTAATATCGTTACAGTCGATATTGTTGTGAATCCGGGGCCTGACTTCCTTATCGAAACGTCGCCTGCCAGTGCCGTCACAACTATGACCGGTAATAAGCCATCATGGCTTGAATTGTCTGTTTTAATTTAATAAATTAAATATTGTTCGCTCTCTATTACTTTATCCTCTATTACATGGAACATTTCTTTACAGTCATTTATTAATTCTTAAAAGCTCTAAAAATATAGACATAAAGACATGGTTGGACGCACTTTTAAAACATTTATCAGTTTCAATTTAAATGGTTATAATTAGAAAAAAACTTATGTTCATCTCATGAACATTTTGTGCTAACAGTCTTTAAACCGACATTTTTCTAGATAATGAAATTGGCATTCCATTCAAATAGCACTATTCAAACGCTCATGCTTGTTCTAGTTTAAGTCTAAGTTTATTGTGTAATTTCATTCAACACCTTCGTTATCTTTGTTGGAAAGTGACACATTGTGGGCTCTGTATCAACAGCCGTATGAAGACATCTGCTAGATGTATTTTGAAATTAATTATTTTCATACTCTTTAGGCCAGCACAGGGGCAGGGAAGGTTGGGGGCGGACGGTATTTTGCATATATCGCTTTCATCCACAAACAATCTTTGTTTAAACAAGAATTTGCAACAGAGTTACCAACGTCCCCCGCCTCGGAGAATTTTTATACGAAGCATAAAATTGTGCTATTTCAAAAGATTGAGGTATGGATCTCAGGACTTTCAGTATAAACTTGTGATCAATGCTAGATCTGCAAAAGCAAAATCAAATTTATTTAAGAAATGAAATACAGAATTTAAAAATCTATCATGTTAAAATTTGACCTGTAATTGTGACCTTGACCTTGGAGGTAGTGGTTGCAGGTGTTAAGCATGACATATCGTCTTATTATTGTAACTATTTGTGCCAAGTTTTTTCAACATCCCTTGAACTGTGAAGAACTTATTTCGAACACAAAATATACCCTATGAGAGACTTTGAAAATCTTTGACCTCTAAGTGTGACTTTGGAGGTAGCAACACAGATGTTACGCATAACATATTATCTTATCATTGTGACTATTTGAGTAAAGTATTTTCAAAATCCCTTGATCTATGAAGACGTTATGGACAGGAAACAAAATATACCAGACTGTTAACCTTTGACCTCTAGGTGTGACCTTGACCTTGGAGGTAGGAATACAGGTGTTGTACTTGATATATAGTCTTCTATTGTGACTATGTGTGCCTAGTTATTTTTAAAATCCCGAAGAAGTTCTTAATCGGACACAAAATATACCCTAAAACAGACAATGTTAATTTTTGACCTCTAAGTGTGACCTTGAACTTGGAGGTAGGGATGCAGGTGTTGTGCATGACACATTATCATATTATAGTGAATATTTGTGGCAAGTATTTACAAAATCTTTCGATCTATGAAAACGTTACGGACTGGACACAAAAAACACCCTATAACAGACTATGTTAATCTTTGACCTCCAAGTGTGACCTTGACCTTGGAGGTAGGTGACCGGTTGTTGCGCATGACACATTATCTCATTATTGTGAACAAATGCGGCAAGTATTTACAAAATCCCTTCAAAAATAAAGAAGTTATAGACCGCACACATGAATGAGCAATTGCGACCTTGACCTTGACGCCTCGCCTTATTATAACAAACATTTGTGTTAAGTTATTTCATATTCCTTTGATAAATGACAAAGTTATGGACCGGACATGAAAGTGTGACGGACGGACAGACGGACGGACGGAGGCCATTTCTATATCCCCCTTTTTCTTCGCAAAGGCGGGGGACAATAATAACAATTTTGTATCATCGCGATAGCTACGTTGTTTCTTTTTTCATATTTTTTTACAACATTGACAAAGAAAAGTAATGGCATGTAAACAATAAATATATATTTCGATAAACATGAAAAAACAGCAACAACAAAAAGTTAGTGTTTTATTATTTTGTTAAACGTTCTTTGACATGTAATGATAATCAGCTGATAATGTAATGCAATTTATTAACATCATTTTAGTTTATATGATCTAATTACATAAAATTATTAGCAAAATTGTATCTATGGATGACGCATCTTAAACCCAATGCTAGAGGTATTTGATTGTACTTCACTTGCATATATCAACACTTTAACTTAATAAATGTGATTTTGAATTAATAATGCCATTTGACCAACATATATAAATGAATCAGTTAAACGTATTAGCAAGATCTTGTTTTATTATCTGATATTTATCAGCGTTCATTTTATTTAAATGTGTTTAGTTGATCATATTGCTGAGTTTTTGTTGCAGATTATTTAGGTAGTTAAAAGGAAAATATAATTTTCATAGAAAATAATCTTCTTCTGATGTATACCTGATACTGCTTCTATGTTTAACTCAAAATAATGAAACTTAAAAAAAGTTGTTGTGTCTTCGTTGAAAGAAACATATTGTGTAAAGAAATAACTAGTATTTTTCAAATCATATGGTAAGAATGTATACGCTTGTAACAGAAAGAATCTAGATAGATAAATTGATACGAGGCTTTTTTGATAACTACTTTCTTAATAACTAGCCATCATTTGCAGTCTCAATATTTGCTTCTACTGTTTTCGCTGTTTGCAAGTAAGTGTGAAAGTAAGGTAACATTTAAAATAAACTTTTAAAACTTTGTTACAAAAAAAGTTAGAAATGAATAAAGAATCAATATTAACGAACATGTTAATAATGAATAATTAAGCAATGTTATTGTTCGTCTATCATATAGACTCTAGTTCATTTTTTCACTGTTATTGTATTATACTTCTTTATTTTATACTGATCTTAATTAGATCTGCTAAAACTAATAACAAAGTCTTGTTTCCTATCAACACATTTTTGTAACGACATTCCATGATATAAACAATCCTGAGACATTGTCACTTTTATCGTTGAAATCTTTTACTAATGAATATTTCTCCACCAATGATTCTTTATTTGAAGCCTCCAATTTTTAGGTTTTCGTACATATTTACATTGTCAGTGGTATCGTGGGTTTGAAGAGCTGGAAAAAAAATAGTTAGATTTATTTGTATATAAGGTGAAACGGTTACAAAAGTTAAACAATTATCGAGATTTTTTGTTATGACAATTTTGTCTCAATGCGCATCTTGTCAAAACTAAAACTCATATCGTTGCAAAGTGTTTAGACAATATCAAACAAAATGTGTATAACTATGTTAAATACACTTGCTACTATATTTAATAGCACAATTGCCTATGATTTCAACTGATTATGAGTGCAAAAAGACCGATTTTCAGTCAGTGACCCGGGGCCGATAACTGATAATGATAATCGGCCAATTGAACATGAATACGTGCACAAACTGAAACAATAACGTCATATTTTTTGTCATCAAAACACCTGTAAATATAAAAGTAGGATTGAAGCACGAATAGCTTGATTTTATAATTAGAAATTAGCGTTTTTTCTACAAACACAGCTTTAATGAATTTAAAAAAAATACTAGCTACAATTTCATTCCGTGAACATAAATAGAACTTCTTGATTCGGTTACATTCACATAAGGAAAGCAACTCTGGAGAATTTACTGCAGAAATTACTGTAAAGTACAGTTGAAAACTACAGCATCGCAATTTAAATTAACGAAATTTCAAAGTAAATTTTAGATCTATCAAGTGTATTGATGACATTAATACACGTCATAGATTGGCCAGAAGGTGATAATCAGCCCTGAAATGAATAATTGCCCTCGGGCTGAAACCCTCGGGTATTCAGTTTTTACAGGCTTATTAAGACTTTGTATTAATCTCTTATTCTGTATAAACGCATTATCTTTCTATACATGTACTGCATAATACAATAATACTGGGAGCTGTTTCCATGTGCTCAACATATCGGAACCGTATTTTGAGTAAAAATATACTAGGTAAATGTCCATTGTATTTGTTTTGAATTTTGAAACAAATCGTCTACTTACCTATATCATCTCCTCCATTTGGAAACGGATTAATTCGAGCATCTTTTTCTTTTGGTATTTAGACTGTCATAGGTGTCTAACCTGTGAAATATTTGTATGATATACTTCTCGTTAAAAACATGACGTAACTATAACCTTATTTATTTAATACTAAATGGTATACATTTTGTTTTAAAATCTTGGATTTAAATATTATATTATTAGTCTGTAATTTAGTTTCACGCTCATTTGATCTTACCCGGAGTCTGCATTCTAAAATTAATCATTATCTTCAGGACGCAATGAGTTAATAACGATTCCTGCGTTATTTTTTACATACTAAGACAAACTATTGAAAACAGTAATTCTGCTGTTGTAATCTTACTACGAATTGAAATGTGAATAAACTTTATATTGATGAACATCCAGCAATATATTTTGTGATGTTCTTGTTTGCGATAATGTTAAACTAAAATATTGATATTTCCATGGAAATCTACATCATGTACATTGACTTGGTCCTTATTTATCTTTTCCGGGGTTTGATATATCTATATAAATATTCTAATTTTAGTATGAATCAAAAAAAACAAATATATAAACTTGGATACATACGTGTATTACATGGCAAGTATTATGTATTATATTCTCTTTCAGCATTACAGTACAGGCGTTTGCATTCATACGAAATTTAATATTTATACTTTTAAAACGACTAAAGAAAATATTAATTTGTCTACAATTTTAAAAAAATCTTGTTAAGTAAGGCCGATTGCTGAGGTATAATTTGCATAGTCCTTAAAGAAATTATTATATTAATAACATATATAATATTAATAACATATATAATAAAAAAGTATAGCTTACGTGTTGGAATCTCTGAAACCTGTGTAATGAAAAAAATAATTGAAAGATTTCCACAGCAATGTAAATGATATGTTTAAAACTATTTATTTAATGTTGTTGCTTTTCAGTATTTGATAGATTTGTTCAATATTAACTACTGGTGTTTTACTTCATTTCAAGATTTAAACTCAGGTTGTTTCCGTGTTCAATCAACTGTAAAACAGTAAAGCGTCCAACTATGTTGATCATATCACGATCCTAAGAACCCTGGTTATTCAAGGTTGTTCAAGGCGTTCACATTTTGAGGTTTTTAATTTTGTGTTAAGTAGATTTTGTTTTTATTATTACAATGGATAGTTATTCTTTTTGATTATTCAGGAGAAAATATAATTCTAGGAATGTTAATTATCAAAACAAAATCAAGCTTAACGTGCCGGAAAGAAATATAAATACTAATAACGTATCAACTATACTACCCTACTTATGCAGATTTTGATCATTTTAGACCTTGTGCTGTAACACATGTAATGTTATAACGATGGAAATAATCTTGATGAGGGATAAAGAGTAATGTCTTCGCAGCCGAAGCGGGTATTCTTTTTTTTAGTCCGGTAAAATAAAACATATATTGGCCTTTGGAAATCCTGTCAGGTATCCACCATTTATTGCATAATTCTGCGTTACGTATTGCACGAATCGTGCGTTGTTTTCACGTTCAGGCGTTACTGGGTATACACGGTGTAATATAAGCATAACAAAAAATGCAAGGTTTGGCGTTGACACGACCCGTAGATGGTTATTAATATCTGCATTTTAATGCTGCATGACAGTAACAATCCAGATAAAAAAGTTTTACACTGGGGAAAAGTACCAAAATATTGTGTTGTTGTTACACAAGTGTCATAGGAGATATGTTACATGATTGTATTGAGAAAAAAAAATAGCAAAAATGCGATTCCAAAAGTCAAAGGATCATGAACAGTGGGTGGAATTGAAAACATTGTTAATGAAGACAGACATCAAAAAGTTCTCAGTATCTCAGAAATTTACACAGTTGAAAATTGAGTGTGCTTAGAATTTCAAAAGACAATATATGTATGTTTCTTATAAGTAGGTGGCTTGACATTAAAAGAATATCCTTGACGCAGGTGATAAATTGAAAAGGAAACACATTAACATAATATCACATAACGAAGTGCCGGCCGCATTGCGATATCATGTAATCTTATCATTTGTTCGGTAAAATCAAATTGTATGATATATTGCTGTTTTTTGCATGTTTGCTCAACAATGGTGTATTAATTACTAGTAAAATATTTTGAAGCCCATTGAGTATTTTGTATTGCAAGACTTAGCAATTTATTAAATTAAAGTAAGTCCAGTTACATAGATGGTACTATGCTGCTTAAGTTAACATAATTATTACAAGGTTTTGAAGAGTTAGGAAACTAAAAGAAAATGATTATTTATTCATGTCTGATTCTTACCGTGTAAGACTTCATACGGTTCTTGGGATGTTGTATCAGACCGTGATGTTCTACAAAATATAATTGAATTACAACAGTTACTAGATTATTTACTTCTATACTTGTATGATTTGGTCAATTGAATAAGAAAGCAAATAGTATCGTAAAGGGTAAGATAAACGTTCTTAAAATTAAACACAAGATTCCCCATTTATAGCCAAAAGTAAGTGTTCACATTCACTTTTCGTCTTCTACACTATGATAGTAAAAATACATATTAAAACGTTTTTAATTTGTGAAATAAAAATACTTACGATTCATATATATTTCCATTAGCTTGCTCTATTTGGAAAAATATGTAAAACATATAAATGCTTTTATAACATCTACCGTATTTATTTTTTGCTCAATTTTATTTAGGTGCTTATATACCGATCTACAAAACATGGTTAAAAGAATGTTTACACCATAACAAAATGTTTCATTTTTAGTCGTAAATGCATTATGTTAAAGTTTAGTAAATAGGCATTAATATTCTTAACGATTAAATCACCACAAAATTCTTTTTCTTACAACGGGAAAAAAACTTGCATTGAAATATGTCACAAATTTACTAGATCGAATTCACTTGTACATATAAATAACCATACAAGTTAAGCATACCTTTCACCGATTTTCTTTTCTTCCATATGAAAAGCCCGATGCAAATAGCGGCAGCAATAAGTACTACAGTTATAATGACAGCGACAAAAAGTTCCAGTTCTGTGAAAGCGATTTGGAGCCTGAAACTCTAGAACACCATGTTTTTACTGACATTTTTTGCAGTGGCATATTGAATTCATACTTTCTGTATATGTTATTTATAAAAAATGTTATAACAATTTAATACTGTATCTAAATAATCATTTATACCCCATAGTTACCAGGCCAACCAGTTCTTACTGGCTTCCATTAAACTGTACCGAAGCTTTGAAAAAAACTTACCTCTTTCTATAACAAATGTTGTTGCTAACTCTGTGTATCCTAAACTCCCTATCGCATTGATAGAAACAATTCGAGGATTATATTTTTCTGGTGAAAGACCCTTTATATTTGCGGTATAGAAAGTACTGTTTAGTTATATTTACTGTCCACCTCGCTAACATTTAAACAGATTTGTCCATGTTTCTGTACCCACAATCGAGGTTTGTATGATAAAATATTGTTGAAGTCCTCCATTGAAGTCTTTTTGCCACACAAATTTTAGTACGTTTTTTTCTGACAGTAACTGTAAGAATTTAGGTGGCAAAGGTGGACCTGGAAATTCGAAAAAAATATCAATTGGCATTATAACTATCACATTTTCATAAGATAAATGTAAGCAAAGCCGAGAATTCGTGCAATTGTAAATCTTTCAAACTGATGCATACCTATGATACAATCCTTTTTGTTTTGATTCGATAAGACGTTTTTTGAAAATGTCAGGTAGATTATTAAAGCGAAGGAAGAAGTGTTGCGTATTTAAGCAAAATGTGACAAACAGCTGCATTTAGCGACAAAGTTGCTATTGTTACTGTATAGAAGCGTCCTTGTTCCAAACCATAATGTTCTACAAAAAAACCTGTTTAGGAGTTTATTATTCCTACGTAAAAGATACAAAAGCCTTATTAGGAGTTAAAATCTCCTACATAGGATATATACACCCTTTCAAACGAAGGAAATAAAAATGCCTAATTAGGTGTTTAAAACTTCTACGAAGTAAATTATGACTACGTAGGATATTAAAAGCATAATAAGGAGATTTCTATACAGAACTTTCCAACGTAGGAAATTAAAAATAAAACTAGATAAAAGTTTTAAACTCATACGCTTGACTTTTAAACCACCAAATAGAAGATTTAGAAAAAAAAACTTATTATGAAATTGAAACTCCTACGTATAATTAAATGTAGAATTAAATAACTACAACGTAGGATTTTGAAAATTCTTACAGAATACTTTTTATCTCGTACGTCTAGGATAAACATAAAACCTATTAGGACTTTAAACTCATACGTAGGACTTAATTACTTCAAGGTTGGACTTTGAAACTCCGGTGTAGGACATACAAACGCCTAATTAGAGCTTTAATAATCACAAAATTTAATTTTGTACAACTTTGCATTGAAATATTTCGCCAATTTACCAGAACGAATGTACATGTATATAACAATACAAGTTTAGTATACCCTTAAATGTCTTCTAAATGAAAATCCTGATGCAAATAGAGGGAGAAATAAGTTCAACATTTATAATAAAACTGACTAATAATGCTTTTCAACTCCTACATTGGAGTTTTAAGTCTTACGTAGGAGTTTTAAACTTAAACACTCCTAAATAGGTTTTTTTATCCCTTACGTAGGGATTTAAAATATTAAGTTGCAGTGTAAAAGGTCTACGTAGGACTTTTAAACTCTTAATTAGTCTGTTGTTTCTCCTACGTAGAAGTTAATTAGGATTTAATTTTTTATAGAACATTATGAAATGGCACCATGACGCTTCCTTACTATTGCGTAAATATGAGAGAAGCAAAAAGTTAATCGAAGTAAATGTCATAAAGAAAATATTGGCTGCACAGATAAAGATAAAGAAATTTAAAGATAAACAAATCTCATTTCCCGTAATTGAAAATCTTGTTCATGTGTAAATTTGTAAATTAAAAAAAAGTACCTGCTTTTACAATGTCTCGTGATAGAAGCGTTAAATATGTTTCACATGTTCAATACACTGAAATTAATTCAGGATATCGAACACACGAACACTTCAGAAAATGGATATGCTTATTTATTGTAATCCAGTCATATATTAATAACATCAGTCATGTGTTGCATTTCAGCTCGGAATAGCCGCCCCGACATTCCACAGGGAACGTTTTCTGTAAAGATGTCTTATAAGCCGATGTTATCAATTAACATCTTGCCAGTCATTGCGAAAAATCTTGTCATTTTTCACTATATTTAGTCGGACACCTAAGACAGTACATAAGTATGTAAGTCAAAAATACAAAATTTTGATATTTTCGTAACACGTCCATAAGCTATAATCACAACAAGAGTTTTGCAGCATACCAACACAATCAATAATAATTATATTAATCTTATTATTGAAATATAAATAGGTTTTAAAATTGGGGAAAAAGAAAAAAAATACAATAATTACATGCAATATTTTTACAATAATTAATCAGGCCATTAAAGGTGAGTTTGATAATGTTGTAAAATGAAATCATTATCTGCTTACCTTCTGGCTATCCACAAACATTAAACAAACGTCTGTGTTGTATCAATAACATTTGTAATTTTGAATGAATAATTTCCGAAATCTTCTTCCCTTGCATCATTCAAAGTGAGATAAAGTACATTCCCTGGCAGTGTTACATCTTTTCCATAAAAATGTGTCTCTACAGAATCATCCATGACAGTATACATATCACTAGAAATAGACTGACCATCATATCTTGTTATTTCTATAGTGTCAAATACAGGATTGCTGTAAATTGGGATTTCAATATTTATTGCGTCTCCCGTTGAACCAGTAAATCGAAGATCATCTCTAAGTATCTTCGGAGAAACTGTAAAGTCAAAGTATAATGATAAACATATAAATGTTAAAAATTGGTATTTTAATTTACATTCCCATCAATGTATATATTATTAACGGAAGCGCCCTAGCTGCCAATTCATAATGTTCTTTAAAAATAAATCAAAATCAGGAGTTTATAACTCCTATGAAGGACATGCAAAAGCCTAATAAAACTCCTACACAGAATTTTGTCATTCCTAGGTAGGAGATAAAAAGCCAAATTAGGAGTTTTAAACTTTCTAAGTGTTAGCTAAATAGGTAGAGCGCTGGTAGACTGTGAATCTGACGACCGGAGTTCGATTCCCGACGGTGCAGGTCACTTTTGTTTGTGATTGATCATGAAATCTTGTCTACGGTCATACGATTTGAACCTTATCTGGCCTTGCATTGAGACCGTTTTCAGTTCCTTGCAAAAATTGAAGCCAAACTACTTGCATAACTGCTTGACACCTTATCAAGAAAGATGCGGTGTCTGAACTGTGCTCTGGTTAATTCAAGAAGCTAACTGCCATCATCCGTAAAGTGAAAACTACCCCAATACCACCACCAAAAACCATTCATTCTACGCAGGACTTTTAAACTCCAACGTAGAAGATAAGAATTCCTAATTAGGATGTTTGAAATTACTTCGTAGGACTTTGAAAACTCCTAACGTAGGAGATTTAATAAACTTTATAGTATTTACTAACTCGAAACGTAGAACATCGATCATCGCACCGAGTTGTGCCCCTTATATAATGAAAGCAGCAAAAGTTTCAAAGTTCTACGTAGGAGTTATTTAGTCTTTCGTAGGAATTTAAAATTCCTAATTAGGATTTTTCATCTCCTACGCAGGATTTTTTCAAAATCCTTACGTTGGAGTTATTAAGTCCTGCGTAGGAGTTATGTTTTATAATCACCTATGTAGGGGTTTTAAAAGTCCTAGATTATTAAATGGCACCAGGACGCTTCCGTTTATTACCACTGCTGGGTAAAGATTATAAATGATAATGATGTACTAAATCTAGTCTTTATTAATTTAATTCATGTTCTATAGTCCGGGCTCTGATGATTTGTATATATTTTATTTGCATGTTTTATATATTATAACTGTCTATATTGTTAAATAATGTTGTAATTTAAAAGAAATAAGTACTAAGCGAAAGTATTGCATCAAAAAATTATCCATAAATACAATAAATTATAAGACGCATCATTTGCAAGTAACTTCCAGTAACGAAAAAAGTAAATGCAAGAAGCGAACATCGGAAATAAAATCATTGATGAGTATAGGAGGAAATAGATGAGAAACACATGATTAATAACATAATAAACTTGTCTAAAAAAAGGATAGGGCATATTAACATACGTTAATTTTATTAAATTATTCGGCAGACAAATATTTTTTTTCATCTGGAATTTGCATTCATAGACGAATTTCTTGGACGTTCACGGTCATGACATCACACAAGACAGATTAAAGTACAAAACGATTTTTAATATTTAAAATTCAAATTTTAAACACATCACAAAACTCGGACTGTTGCAAATGCTTACCAAGCCACAAACAATTTCCCTATATGACTTAGAAGTGCGTGTTTGATGATACATAAGTCACCTCAGCCGAATTTCTAACTTCCTTTATTATGATAAATTGTAGTTGTATCAATTTAAAGGAAATAAATAAGGTTCTTAGGTGTTTATCGAGCTTTATTTGAACACCAGTTGACTGCATGCCCTTAGGAACTTGAGCCACGAAGGCCGTTAGCTAGAGGCTGGTTATTTTTTCCGCAATCAAAATCGACAAACCCGTTGTTATAATAGAACGGTAAACACCGCTACAAAGACCGATATTACTTCCATTCTTACAGGATAAAATAAAACTTCTATCACTTATGTTATTATTTTTTCAAGCGAAATAGTCTTCCGCTGTGCCTACTTTCGTGACAACCGCTGTTAACGCAACCCATTGTTGCTAAGGGATATATATTAATTTACTACACCAAAAAAAATAATTAAGAAAAAATATTTATCAATTAAAAAACTTACGTCTAGAATATGTAGTTGTGTTATATAACGTGCGCCAATTTGTTTTAAAAATGACCTTAGCGTTTATTGGTGACTAATACTTAGAATGACGTCATTACGCTACTTAAAACATTGGCCCGTTCGTCTAAAATATTTATAAATGATTTAATGAAAATCAAATCTGTGGCGTTACTGTATGTGCGAGATATTATTTCGGTATTGCATAAAAATAAAACATTATAAGAATTGAAAATATGAATAAAATCCTTTTTTATTTTTGCTTTAAAAGTCAACATACAGGCTCTGCGCTATATAATATTAAGTTGTATCGCTTCTCCATTTAGAAATCAATTACATAGAGGATAAGTATATGTTTATTAAGTAAGACCGAAATATCTTTAACTGAGTGATTATCAAATTGAACAGTTTCATTTTCCAAAGGGACATGCTTTTTATATCTATTCCGTGGTTTTTGGTGGTTTTCCGCGATTTTTACATATGTTTAGGCATA